GCGGGGCGTCCCCGCGTCTCAGCGCAGCGGAGGGCGATGCTGGGGTCCGTCCTGGGGCCTCGGTGATCTCCCCCCGAGCTCCTCCCCGGGCAGGCCCGCGGCCCCGCCGGCGAGAGTCCTGCTGGCTTCGTCGTTCTCGCCGCTGCCTGTCCTCCCGGTCGTCTGCGGACACCGGCTCTGCTGGCTGGCCGCGGGTAGCGGGCTGTTCTCCCGCGGTAAAGCTGGGGCCTTGGGGGGGGAGAGGGGACTGTGGGGTGACTGTAAGGTGGTGATGGGAGCGGTCGCTTTGCCTCTACGGTTGGGGTGTGATGTAGGCTTAGAAAATGCTTGTTTACTTGTTATCCACCATGTGTTTGTAGTTGGGAAAGTGTTAACTCGGAGGCCTGAACTAGTCCCCATCGTTGTACAAACTGATGCGTTTAACGTCTCGGTCACAGCGTTGCTTGTGCTTGCAGGAGCGTAGTTATGGGAGAGCCTTTAACGAGGTATATTTAATTTGCAATAGTGCTGACTTGTTTCTTTTGGGGGGAGCGGGGTTGCAGTTCTAGCTGAAGAAACAAGCTGATCTACATGTGCTTCACTCTCCATTGGAAGAATGACAGATGACAAAGATGTACTTCGAGATGTGTGGTTTGGCCGAATACCAACGTGTTTCACGCTGTATCAGGATGAGATAACTGAAAGGGAAGCCGAACCTTACTATGTGAGTATAACAAAGGTAGTCACAGATAGTCCAGTGCCATAGTTATGATTGTTTTCTTCATTCTCATCATGTGTGCTGCCGCATGTTGCGGAAAAATCCCAAACAACCCATTTTTCTTATTATTCCTGGTACCTCCTGAAAGTAAATTGTATGACCGCTCTGTGTGATTTGTCTCTCTTCACAGCAGGTTCAAAACTTTAAGCTTGTTTCACCAGTGAGATAAACTTATCACAGATAAGATATAAAAAAAAAAAAGTGAAAAAAAATCAGTAAGTAATTAGGTAAAAGGAGGAGGCTCTACATGTACTCATGGTGAGTTTGTATGTTCTTGGGTAATGACCAGAAGAAGGGAGAGAACTTGTATGTTACCTTACTACAGAAATAACTTCAGTCAGAGCTTTGTGCAATCTTAAACACTAAGATCAGTCACCCATGTAGCAGAAACTCATAATGAACAATGGCTCCAGTATTTCTGCTCATGGACTTCTGCTCATTTTCTCTTCTTCAAATGCTAGGAGCCATGAGAGATCTAGCTCAAATGCAGAAAAAGCAGCTGTAATATCTTAACAGTACAGCGTCTGAACTGGATTGCTAGCTGATGATGAAAACAAGGGTGATGTATCTGAGTTGTAAATTGGAAGGGCCTTCTATAATGAGGTGGTTTTTATTTATAGTGTGCTCAGCAGTTTCCATCCTTTCAGCACCTAATAGACATTTGATTGATAGAGAATGTTGGTTGATTCAGTGAAACATAAATTTGAAATGTAACAAGTATGTGGGAGGAAAATCTTGTCTTATGAGTTTTTACGTGATTCTGAAATCCTTAAATCTTGTCATATCCTATTCATTTTGAAAATATTACTGGACAGAAATATTTTTTTCTTCTGTGTTTTATAGTCTCTTTATGTCATCAGTTTCTGATTTCCATGTGTGTTCATTGGTTTTTTGAAACCTAATAAAGCATTAATGCTTTTTGTTCAGTAATGATAGTGCTCGTCTCTGTGTTTTAGTTTCACCACTGGTAAAACAGAAGCATTTTTACTTCATGCAGTTGACCTATTGCAAAATGCATCTGAGCTATCTAGAAGTCTCAGACTTCAGATTTCTTTTATATATGTATATGAGTTAAAAATATATATAGTATAAGAGCTACATGAAAGGTATAAGTTTAATTATAGAGACGTGCAGTCTTGATCTGTTTAACATCAGCATGGAAACCCTGAAACCACGTTGTCTTCATGGTGTGGCCAATGTTCTAATCCAAGGAGATAGTTTTAAGCTGGTAGGATTTTTTATTTACTCTGCTTGAAGCGTGCACAAAAATTCTCAAGGCTTAATTCTCTATTTCTGCAAAATCTAGTTATATGCAGATCACAATTCTACAATTTTAGCTTCATCCTTTTTCAGGTCATGTTTGAGCTGACATATAGCTTTGCTTCTTGAAGAGACCAAGGATTTATAATAGTAAAAGTTAGAATAGCAATCAAAGTTTTGAATCATGGTTTAGTTCTCATGGTTTCAGAGTGCATCTACATTAATGTTTTTGTTCAGATCTGGAGTGCATTTTTGAAGCAAGTCTCATCCTTTCCACTTACTGTGCCCAGGTTTGCATCACACAGCAGTCTTATAACCCACAAGCTGAATCACTTTCACATGAATCTGAGGCAGATGTGCTTCAGCTGCTAATGGGCATTTAGTGTATGGGATCAAACTGGACCAAAATTGAAGTAAAAAATATCGAAATTCCCCAAAATGAATTAAAAAAGTGTATGTAGTGAAAGTTCCCAGTCATCGACACCAGCTGTTCAGCTTTACATGTTTCCTTTTACCACACCTCAGTGCTTCTTAATGTAGGTATAACATCTGTATTCCAGACTAAATGGGAAGGCTGCATGGGGAGGAAATACTGGTATCATTATGTTATGAGGGAAACAAAGCTTCTGCTTTGAGGAACTTGCTTTATGAAGATGGAGGAAGACATAGACCCTGAAGGGTGAGGGGTTAGAAAAACAACCCAGAGTCTGTGTGATGGATTTCAGTTTGTGAGCAGTGTGGCAGGAGACCCTTGTCTGGTAGATGTATTAGCACAGCACAGGAGTGATGCATGCATGTATCGCATTATGGCACTGCAGGGGGGTGGCAGAGCTAATTTAAAATGAGCTTGTTTATCTTTTGGAAAGAGTAATGACATGAAGATTAAGCAGCTGAGGTAAAATATTGTCCTGTTTCTTCCTGTAGTAGAGGCAGGTAGGCTTTTGCAGAGTTACACTGGAAATAGATATGTCAAGTTTCTTTGGAATGTTTCCTACAGATGCTGGTGTTTTGGGTGGAAACATAATTAAGAACAGCTAGGTTGAACTACTTTTGTAGCTGAAGTATTTGACTTCTCCCTAGTCCTAAAGTTGTTACAACTTTTATTTTAAAATCATGTACTGTCTGTCTCTTGGTGAAAACAACAGTTAGAAATCAAATGCGTACAGGAAGCAGAGTACTCATTGGCTGATGTCAGCTGTAAAGAACAAAATTACAGCAGAAGGCAGTCTTAGAATGATGCTTTGCCCAAGGAACTAGCCTTTGCTAGGCTGCTCTTTAAGCTTCCCCAGTGTCAAAAGGGATGTTCTATTAAGATGTCTATAATAGTGAGCAACATGAAGCCATTCCATGTTAGGATGCTTTGATTCTTCATCCTGGGTGCATTGGTGATCAGACCAGTCTAGTTCCTGTTAAATCTAGATTTTTTTTTTTTATAGTGTTTTGCATGTAAAATGGTGTTTTGCTCTGCAACAAAACCTGTGGACATAGCTGGAGAGGTACTCTTTATACTCTTTATACACAAAAACATATTGCAAGCGTTTCCTTAGGCATTAGGAATTCCTTGCATTTCATTTAACCTCTACAGAAAGCATTCCTGGTTTTTGTGATTAAATACTGTCACAATAGACAATATGCAAAAGGAAGGCGTTGTGGTTTGTGTAATTTTGGGGATGGCATGTTCTAGCCTACTAGGATTTATTCTGCCTGGTAATGTATCTGGAGATTTACTTTTGTTTTCTTGATTTAATGAGGAGAACGCCTAATCTTATTTGTTAGCCATTGATTTATGAATTCAGATGAGAATATGAATTTAAGGGTTTTTTTCATGTTCTCAAATGGTATTTTTTAAATTGTTAGTACTGAGCAACTTGTTTATCTTGTCTGCATTACTGTTGCAATAGTCTGATTGCAACAGGTCACGAACATCTACTTGGCTTTATACCGTGTACTCAAACTCTCTCAAAGTAGTCAATGCCAGCTTTTTGGTTTTATACTGAGTGGGAGAAAACTTATACAACTGGTTGCTGGAGGGAATGGCACCCAGCCTCACTTAACATTTCAGGAATTCTTACTTGGTCTTGACGCTTAAAAGTAATCCATTCACACACCGACTGCTTTAGGCTTCTCTTGAATCTTCTTACAAGTCCATCTTTTCTAGGGAACAAGACAAATGTGGCTCCTTCTGAGCCACAAAGCTCAACTGAAAGTGGGGTTTGTCATTCAGGTTTCTTCGTTATGCAGCATAGTGAACAGCAAGCATTATATTCATCTGCCATTAATGAGCAGGCAGCATGGCAGAGCCAATTGCCAGACAACTTGAATCAAAACTGGGATTCTCTTCTATTTAATTCCTTATGTGTTTTATCATCCATTTTCATATTAGTTATTTTCTCTCATATATTATTTAAATTGGCAACTATTGAATCTATGCTAACTATGCACTCCATATGTTCATTAAAAACTTTGGTACTACGTTGTCTGCATATTTTCCCATGCAGTACTGTAGGTCATTTATGATAGGCATTCTGTCTTTTAGTATATTATGTAGTGATTTATCAGTCCCACATTCAGATTGCTGTTGTTACATTATTTGCATTGTTGGACGTGTTTGATTTTCATAGCATTGTTCTAACCTTTAGCAAAAAGTCTGCTTGGAGAAGGTTATTTGTAAAAAAACAAAAATAAACACCAAAAATCCCTACCCAACCATAAAAACAACAAAAAAACCCAAACAAAAAAATTTACTCCATTAGGTCAGATTTGCCCTAACTGAGATTACTATGTCTTGTCATATGATCATCCTTTTTTTTTTTCTTATTAGGTATTACAGCCCTGAACCAAGCATTACTCTTATCACTGAATCATGACCATTCATTCCCAGCATCTAGAAATACTGCTGTAGGTTTGCCAAAGGGTCAAAGGGTATAGCATCGTTGGGCCGCGTGGACTGGTTTAGGAGTCAATAGCAAAAGTGTTTCTGTGAGAGGTGTCATTCTGGTGAACATGGCTTTGCCTAAAAGGAAGGCTCCTTGCCACATGGCTAAAGTGTTGGAGATGATTCTGAATGTCTATTAGTGTAGAAGGAGAACTGCTGTGTAGAATTCCGGTTTTCATATAGAGGCCTCTATGAAACGATTAACGTGGTTCTGTTTCAGAGAGATTGACTAAAGCTCAGCATGTAGTTAAATACGTTAAGGGTTTTTTTTCCTAAATATTTTTTAGTACCGTCCCTCTGGAAATACTCAGTAATAGCATTTTAAAATTACAGGATTTTTGGAGTAAAAATGTTTTAACTGTGGTTTTCACTAAGTGTAGACAAACGGTGGAGAAGGGATATTAAAAAGGGGCAAGAAACTGAAAATGTCTTTAAACTATGCTTTTAAAGGTCTTGCTTAACAGATTTAGTGTACTTGTAAATCTCTGGGATAATTAAAGCTATAAAAGTGGTAAAATTGGATTCTTTCATGTCTCCCATGGAAGAGGTGGGAAGACCAAAAAAAGAGTTCAGTAGGTGCTGCAAATGCTCAGCATCTCTGAAAAACAGGCAGTCTCTGTTAACCTAATTAACTATTGGATTTTGTACTCCAAGAGGCCCATTGGGAGTGCTGGCCATGTTCTGTTAAATTCAGTTAAGTGCTGTTTGGTTATTGTCTGTGATCTCCAATTTTGTTTAAAGAGGAACTGCGTTGTTCTTCCACACTAAAAACTAAAGTAAAATATTTTACAGAGGAAATTAGTTACGCAGTTTAAAAGGTTATGCCAAACAGTGTTGCAATCAATAATGCTTTAATATATTTATCAATTCCTACATGGTTGTGCCACATGCAGCGTGCTGAAAATTTGCTTTTGCAGCAGTCCAAATGGGTCTCATATCAGAATGTACCAGCATTAATTTAACTGCAAATATCACACAGAAATAATACAGAATTATTACCAAAAATGTTTGAGCTTGATTGGAATAGCCTGGACTATCAGTGTAGATATGTGGAATTAGGTTAATAAAGGGAAAAAAAAAAAAACACCTATAATGTCTTTCAAGTCATTGAGGTACCTAACAATTCTCACTTGAGTGTGTATATGACTTCATTGAATTTGATTGTTTACCTTTTAAACCTGAAGGCTGTATTTAATTACCTTGCTGAATTAGACTCCTATGAAAGAAGGTAGAAACAATACGATGATGGTAATAATAGCAACAGATGGAAAAAGAAAACCATACGGTACATAAAAGATCAAGTGTTAACTGGCTTGATGACTGTGACAGTGGTGAGTCTTGATCTCTTGCAGTTTTATGTAATCCTGAAATTTAGTTGTTTCACAGGTGTATGCAGATTAGTAACCTAATGCGGCACTATTTAAAAGACAAATCCATTCCCTTTCATAAGAACTTACTCTTAATTTACTCTCCATAGTTCTTCTATGTGCATCTGGTATTTATAAATAAATTCTAGTATCATGACCAAAATATCTAATTTATATATCAAAGTGTGGTCTAATTTTTTGAGAGATTCTGGAAGAATGTTGCAGGAGAGATCAAGTTTTCTGTCAGGCAAAATGTATCCTTGCATAGTTTGGGACGTCTGTACCATAGACATTCACTTAAGGCCTAGCATTATCCATATACTATAAAGAAAATATTTTAAGAAAGATCAAGGGTTATGAGGAACACTGAAAAACAAAAGTTTGTCTTTCTCTAAATATGCAAAAAATAATTTGTTTCTATTTATTCCTTGGACCATCTATTTTATTAATAATTAGGAAATGAAAATAACTTTACAGGAGGAAAATTATTAATTTAACATGTCTGCTCCAAAGCTAAATGTTATTTTACAGGGAGATTAATCTTTTCTCATTGGGATACTGTAACGCATTGTTCATTAAAGCTTATGGACTGATCTTAAGTTATCCGTCAATACACTGATGCAGTCTGCTTAACCACTCCTACTAGGCATGAGACCTTAAAAAAAAAAAAAAAGGGTGGGGGTTAAATAAGAAATAACACAGCATTCTGTTTCAGATAGTGCATAACATTACACTTGAGAAAAAAAGATAGTAAAACAGAAAGCTGTAAGAAGGTGTCCTGTCTCAACTGATGAAATATTGTCAATTTGCTTTCTGATTTCAGTAGCTGGGCAAAGGTTAAATAGTGGAAGAGTTATAGTAGTCTTGACTAATTGAATTGACAAGCCCAGTACACAGAAAAGGGAAATTGCCAACTATTGGAAATACAAAATGCACTTGGAAACCAAACCCTCAAGCAGCTAGTTTTCATTCTTTTTTTAAGAAATTTTGTAGAAATTTCCATTTTGAAATAACAGCTGATGCACAGTTGCTCATTATATTCAATAAGAAGTTAGAACATGTTTCTATCTGTTTATATGAAAAATGTTGAAAACTTCTTTGGCCTGCTTAAATACAGAAAAGCAGAAAATAAATTCCATTCTTCTCCCTCCCACCACATCGAAAGAATCAAGAACTTATTTTTTTTATTGTTTTTTATGTGTTAGTGTATTGGATACTAGTATTCTGCATCTTCTGAGTACATAATTTTATAGCCTTTCATTGACCATTAATAAGTAAACTGTCTAAAAGATATCTTACCTTAAAGAGGGGAAAAAAGAATGCTGACTGAATTTTAGTTATGAAAATAGTGGTTACAGATTTTTCTTGATTTAGTAAATTTTATATTTACTTAAAGCCTCTATAATTTTTTTCTTTCAGTTGCTTTTGCCAAGGATAAGCTATTTGACACTGGTAACAGACAAAGTGAAGAAACACTTTCAGAAAGTAATGAGACAAGAGGAAGTTAGTGAAATATGGTTTGAATATGAAGGTACACCGCTGAAATGGTGAGTTTACTTAACTTTGTACCTTTACTCGGTTTGTCATGTGAAGAGTTATCAAGTTCAGCACCGTGTCAGTACTTTTCTTAAACTAATCACTCCATTGGGTTTCAAAGATGGCAAAAGAGGAGTGTAAGAAAAGCATGTTGTGTGGGGAGAAAACAGAATGTTTAATGTTGAACATATGCACTTAATTAAGTACAAGCAGAATAACAAATAAGGCAGAGGTTGTGGTGCACCTCTTGTTTTTGTTCTAGTTGTTACTGTAATATGAAATGCGTGTGTTTTTTGGCTTTGCTGTTTCTTGCAGTAGAATCACCAAATAAATCCTTTGTTTAGCTTATTCTACCTTCTTAAAAGTTACCTAATAACACAGGAAGTATTACTTCTGGAGTCTGAATGCAAATAAGATATATGCTTAAGGATAATAAAACATGCATGACCTTCCCTCTTTACTGGCGTGATATGTGCTTGCACTGTAAAACAGACAATCTAATACTGATGCACAGGCTCTTGTTGAATTCAATTAGTTCAACTTTCTTGAACTAATTGCTGTAGATTCTATTTTTGTTCTGTCATATGGTATATCTTTTTTGCCCCCTCCCCCCCCAAGGTTGAGGAATCAGACTGCCATTATTTCATTTACTTAGTTTTCATAAATACTGTTCATCAGACTTTGTTTCTTTCTATTTCTTCCATGAAGAGTTTTTTTTTAAAAAAAAAAAAACAACCAAAAACCAACATTTTGAGAGCTGCAGTGTTTGATAGCTCTCCATAGATAGCATCAGCTCTCCAGAAAGTACTTAGTATTTTGAATACAGAAGAGATTTTATACCTCTTTATTTCCTGTGTCATAATAGGAAAGAAGACTACCAGTGACTGGTTTAGCTTCTTGAACCTGGATCGTGTTATTGATTAGCAAGCATCATATCGTGGGATCCCTTTAGACTTGGTGATGCAGTAGATCTCTTCTAGTCTTTTGTTTCTTTGAGGCCAACCTAGTGAAAACCTTGAAAATACATTATATAACAGAAAAGCAGAAAACCTAGCTTTTTTTTCACTTTTTCAAAACTGGCCGGCCAAACCAGCTTTAGACATCTATTTAAATTATTTGAAATTTAACAATAATTGGTCTCTTGGTGTGCTCTATCAACCTTGAGTTGTGGTGGATACTGTCTAAACAAACAGCAAGGTACCAAGTTTGTCCCAGTGAGTTCATAGTCTTAGGTAGATAAACTTTGTTTTCACTGAAGTTGTAACAAGAAAGGAAAGAAGAGCTTTTTACGTCAACCAAAAATAGATCTGTATTTTCTGTAAGTTTTCAAATACCATTATGTTTAAACTAGAGTTAAGAAAAAAATATAGAATATAGGTATTGAGTAAAAATATAATTCTAAAATTAAGAGTTAGTAAACTGGTTGAACATTGAAATGACAATGAATAGTGTAATTATGATCTGCTAATTAAGGCTCTGATCTTTCAGAAAATCTAAGCATATTCTGCCAGGAACAACTCCCCTGATTTCAGTGGAATTGCTTTTCTCAGGAAAATGCTATCTGCAAACCATTATTTTATGAGAATGGGAACCCCCTAAACAGCTGAAGCTTGTTCCAGAGAAGACCCAAATACCAGAACTGAGAATTAGATTGAGCTGGTAGTTTGTAGAGAAAGAATAGGCAGCATTAATGTTTAATCTTTTTAAGTATAACTTCTGCATTCAGAACCAAATAACTTGCTAGTAATATTTCTCATTCTAATTATGTACATTGCACTGTGAGGTCATACTGCTTACAGTCTGTGTGGTTTCATACCTGGTTGGGCTGTAGTGTATCTCTTTTCAGCTGCTGCTCCTTTTCCAGTGAGAGTTTGGAGGAGGTCCGAAACATAGCTTCAACTTCGTGGTCTGCAGCACTCAGACCAAGCTCCTGAAGGGGAGGATGCAGTTCTCCAGGTCTGGAGTTACAGAAGCCTGGGACCTCCCATTGAATTCACTAGGGCAGGGGAAGATGGTCTCCTTACCTGCAGGAGGTGTGTGCTGGGGGAAGGTCTGTGTCACCAAGTTAAGGAGCTGCAGGAAGAGGTCATCAGACTGTGCAGCATCAGAGACTACAGAAGGAATGGATCAAATCTTCTCAGAGAGCTCTCCCTTATCAGTCTCTCCAGGACCTTGAACTCTGCCATTTCATGGTTGCCACAGCCAAAGCTGCCACTGATACTCACATCCAGAACTACCTTGTTTTGTTAGTAAGTAACAGATTCAGCTGCGGGTCAGCTCTGGTCCATCCATTGCTTGTATCAAGAAATCTTGACTACTTGTGTCCCATGATGTTACTTTTCCAGCAGATGTCAGAGATTAACAAGAACCAGGGTCTGTGATGGATTGTGTGATCTGTAACAAACTCACCAACAAGATCTCAACCAACCTGTTTTCTGTCTCATTAAGTTTCATACATCTAAGCTGCTCCCTCACATGGAAGACACTCTCTTCCCTCATCTGCCCTGCCTGTCTTTCCTGAGCAGCTTGCGTCCATCCATCCATAACAGCATTCCAGTTGTGCAAGCTGTCTCATTGTATCTCACGTAGCCCAACACTGTTACTGTTATGTCACTGCATGTGAAGCTCTAGTTTCTCCTGCTTGGGAAACAAGCCGTGTGCATGTACATACACTTGTGGTAGACTCTCTTTTACCCTCTTTTATCATTTTGAGATCTTCCTTGTCAACTTTCACCACTTGCTTTCCATCAATGTCCATTAATTTCTGCTTGTCTGTGGGTTGTTATTAACACCCCTGTTGTTTATAGTCTGAAGCTCTCCTCACCAGGTTGACCTACCTGAAGGCAAAGATACTTTTCCATCTCTCCCTAGCAGTCCTTTATCCCCAAAGAGTGCCCTGTGGCTCTAAAAGCCAAGTCCCTGTTGTCACATCAGCTGCACAACCAGTTATTGACCTGCAGTTGTTGACCAGCATGCACACCTCTCTGAGCCTTTCTACTTCAATGGCAAAATTGTGGAGTTGCCACCTTGCCCCTGGAGCTGTGTAGTCACTCTTGATACTCTCAAGGGTGCCCTCGCAGAACTTAAGATTTGCATCCATGTGGTTGAACAGCAAGGGCTAATAATCCAAGCACAGGACCAACCTTGTCAGTCTGCCTGCAACTTCTTAACAAGCAGCATATCTCCACGGGTAGCAAGTGAGATTGGCAGATGGGAGGGTGCTCTATCCCCTGCAGGGATGAGCCTCTTGCTGCTGTGACTGCTTCCTCTTAGAATGGAAGTGCTGCTCTCATGCTTCTTCAGAGCTTCCAGGCCCTTGTCTGCCATCAAGGCAGGCTCCATCTCTCCCTGCAATTAGTGGCTTCTCTTGCCAGAGGCTGCAAGACTGCAGTCTTCCCCATCTTGCAAGTCTCCATTCACCACTCCAATGACTGCACACCCTCTTTCTGTGCAGCTGGGAGTTCAGGCTCTCACCTCTGCAAGGTCTCAGTGAAGATGCCATCAATCTCATTATTTTCCCTGATGCTGTGCAGTCTATTGACCTCCTGCAGCTCCTTAACTTGGCAACATAGCTCCTTCAGCAACACACACCTCCTCTAGGCAAGGACAGTGCCTCTACTTGTGCCAGCCCTCAAGAAAGTGCTCTCCTGGCAGCTTGAGACCTGGAGAGTTGCATCCTCTCTCTGGAGCTCTGCCTGAGTGAAAGCCTCTGATCTGCTGGTGTGGTGTTTCTTCAGCAGATGCTAAGGGACAACACCCTGTAAATTGTTACCATCCTATTTGAGCACTTGCACGTGGCCTTTGGCAGAGTTTCTGTCCCCTTTCTGTGGGTTGTGCCTCTAGCTCTGGTAGTTGCATAGTTGTGTCTCTAGTATGAACTGGATGGATGCTTGACTCTTTCTAAGCAGGAATCAGTGGAAGGCAAAAGGTCAAAGCACCATTTGATGAGGCATAGCTGACATTGTTCAAAAAATGCTAGCTTGCTTGAAAGATTTAAGAAAAAAAAATATTTCTTACTGAATATTAAAGGAAAAGGTAAGACTATTTTCTGATGCAGCCAAAATTTCCCTCAATGAGACATTTATCCATAGAAATACCTAAACACCAGATTTTGGCTGCTTGATACACTTAGTACCCCAAACAGTCCTTGGAGTACAGGATTTATCAGTTCATGTGACATGTCTTACTGAATTACTGCAGTAAGTTGTTATGTTCTGAAAACAACCTACTAACTCATGCTGTCACTTTCTGTTCAGAAAGAAACTGTTAGAAAAGTAGGAATTAATTTTCCTTACTGTCCATGTGTCACTTTCAAAAGGATTTTAAGTACTTCATGTGGTGTTTTCCAGGACTTCTCTCGCACTCTGAAATCACCTTCTGTAAAATAATAAAACCAGTAATAAACTGACAATTACTGGAAGTCAAGGTGCTGTTACACTTTTATAGATTGAAGACTTTCCAGAACTCATCATTATTCTAGCAACTTGTAAAAAAAGATTTGTGGTCTCATAGACATTTTTTCTCTGATATTTTTTCCCATTATTTCATTTGAGAAACTTTTGTATATGCCTGCATATGTCTGTCCTTGATTCCCGCTCTAGTTAATACCAGCTTGATTTCAACAATCCAGTAGTATTCTTTCAAAATTACACTTTTCTGGGATGGATGTTTCCCATAGCTGTTGTTCTGTTTTTCTCTTTTCTTTTTTTGGGGGCAAATCTTTAAAGGCTCTCTTGGTTTTTTAATATTTTTTTTTTATTCTCCTGGTTACTGTAGGTTCTAGAGACCATTTGTGTATTTCTTTTAATTGTAATACCTCTTTTTCAACTAGAAGTTCAGAAACAGCATGGCAGCAGTACCACTGGAAGCAAAATCTTTAATGAGAGAATACTGGCTCATAGCACAAGATAGATACGTGCTTAAGAATGGAGTGAGGGCGTGTTGGGGTTTTTTATTCCATGTACAGATTGACGAGTCCTATTTTCTCCTCAACTTCTGCCTTTGTTTCTCCCTTAATTCTCTATCCTGGTTAAGAAACCAGGTTTTATTAGGAAGGAAATATAAATAATAGCTTTGGTGTTGTTATATGGAGTGCTATTGTTTCCAGACTCTTAAAAAATGGTTGTAACTATATCTCAGAAAGAAGTGAAACACAGCATTATGCACAGACATTACTTAGGACTTCTGTTGGCTTCGAATTAAATGCCAGTGTGTGAGAACTGAAGTTTGAAGCAGGACATGTCTTACATCTCAGGATTGGTTCACTCCTGTTGTGAGCTTCACTCTTAATGGAAGGCTGTGTTTCTGAATAGAAAATTGTTTCTGTCACAGTCCACTGTCTCCATTAATCTCATGTGTTCTGCTATGGAACAAAATGGATTTAGGGCTGGCCTCTTTCAAAATAAAAACCACATATCAGCTGTGCAAAGCACAGGGATTTTACTGAAGAAAGCTTGAGTACATGAACTTTTTTTGTAATCTACAGTGGCTAGAAAATATAGAGGTAGGCCAAGAACTAATGCTTCTCTTTTTTTGGTTTTTTTTGGTAGCTATCTGTTTTGTTGTATAAATTGAAAGTAACTGAAAGTCATTGTTCACGTTTACCTAATTATCAAAGGAAATCTAATTTTTGTTACTTAGCTCACCTGGAAAACCACTTCTTCATGGACCTCTTGCTGAACCTCTGTTGAAGTACTCAAGACATGATTGGCAGTTTAGTAATAAGAAGTCTTAATGGTAAAAACTTGAGCATTAGCAGTGAATCGGGATAAATCTGGATATGCATTATCTATACTCTTTATTCCCTTAGTCAGGAAAACAAATATTGGATACTTTCTTGATGTTTCCCCACATTCTTCCTTTTAAGAAGTTACAAATGCAATGGCTAAGTTCAAGAATTGTAGTATTGTTTTGGTTTTTTATTTCGCTGTTGTGAAGTGACTTTTTCTTCGCTTTGGGGTTAGCTCACCCCTAGAGGGTGCTAAAGCATTGTTGTGTGGGAGTTGAGCAGGTCAGGAAATTGGCTTGGCGCAGGTGCTTTTAGAGCAATAGCAACATGCTGGGTTATTGCTCTCTGGACTTTCAATACTGAAGTACGTGCTTGGCTCTGCGTCTTGTGATCAGTCCCATTTAATTACGTGAAGCTACTGAGTCCACAGTTAAGTGTGTGCTTATGTCTTTGTAGGATGAAAACCTAGTGAGGCTTTCTTACTTAACACCTTTGAAAGATAAGAGAACGGAGCTTGGTAGGCTGAATGCAAAAGAATTTTTTTATCAAAAATCTTGCCAGTGTCTGCTTATGAGAAAATTGCAGGAAGATCTTTTTAGAATGTCTTTGGAAGTTCTGTGTATGTGATATATATTCCTTACGTTGCCGGAGGCTGTATCTTCTAATGGATTTAAAGGAGACAGCTATAAGACGAAAGTGAATATTTGGAGGAAGCAGCTTCGTTGTGTAACTCCTTTAATCCAGAATACCACTGAAATACAAAAATCCAATTAATCTTTTTTTCTCCCCTTCTATTCTTAATTGATAGTAAAGATACAGAGTTCATATTCATCTATCCATTTTTAGCCCTTTTACAGATATGTCATTTTTTCATTTTACTAGTTATTTTCCGCAATAACATCAGGCAGGTGAGAGAGGGAAGAGATATTAAGGATCAATGTGGTATAAAGCCATGACATTTAAATGTCTGAAAGCATGTATACCTTCCTGTCAGACCAGCAATTCCTACCATTATCAAGCTTTTTTACTAAAAATGCTGTTCTGAAGGATTCCACAGAACAGCTGTAGGCCACTTGTGCTATTGCAAAACTAGCAGTGTTTTGTGGGCACAGCGTGGAGACCACTGGTTTAGATACTGAACATGTAAATTCCAGACTTGGTTCTGCCAGAAACTGTCAGTCACTTATACCTGTGTGTATAACTCTTCTGAATAAGCAATAATGAATATTAATTGTGGGAGTCAAACAGGTATTTTTTTTTTCATGTAAATGCAGATATGTTAACTGTTTTATGTAAAATTAAATACATAGCTGTTACGTTCATTTAGTATCTCTTAATTTTTAGGCATTACCCAATTGGTTTGCTGTTTGATCTCCATGCATCAAATACAGCCCTTCCTTGGAGCATCACAGTGCATTTCAAGGTAAAATTGAAATACACCTTTAGTTAAGAACAAGCGAGAGTGGGATTACATGAAATTTGGAAGCTAGGGAAAGGTTTCATGATTATTTTATAAATGAGTGGCATGACTTGAAGGGATGAATGTTCATTTTTCAGAAATCATTTAAAGTTTTCTGTAAATCTACAGCTGTGTTCCGTGAGATTGTATGTGCTTTCAAATGACCTTCCTTTTAAAATGATTCTATTGTAACCTGAAAATTCAAAATTGTTCTTCAAGATAAAGTTATAAGACTATGTCGGTGCAGTTGAGTTGATAAGGGAAGAACTTTCTATAATGCTTCTAGTTCAGTCAGCTCAAGTTGGCTGACGATTGAGAAGTGCTCATCCTTCTAGGCACATGAGCATGGATATGAGATACTGTAGAAATCATTGATGTCAGGGTGTGCCGTTGTACTTCGTGTGGATCCCCTGTAGAGAACTGAGTGAAAATAAGTTTGGTCTTGTGACAGCTTAGTCAGAGGAGAGACATTATTTTGATTACACATTGTAAAACTATTAGGTATGACTTAAAATAGCACTACTGATCTTTGCTCAGAAGGGTACTTGGCGCAGGTTTAGCTTTAGTGCAGGATTATTTCATACCCTGAAATGCATTGAGACGGTAATCCCAGGTATGTTTTGAAGTCAAAATCACAACTAGAAATCATGGTATTTAACTTTGAAACTTTAATTTCTCCATTGTAAAAGAGACAATGTGATAGGAAAACTGATCCAAAGGAAAACACCGGGTTTGACTTTAGTGTGCGAGATTTGAGATGAAATGAAAAGCATACTGGGAAGCAGTTGTGTTGAACACTTTCATTCAAACAGTTCTTCTCTTGAAGGTGTTTTAGAAAAGGTCGTGCTAACAGTAGTCATCTAATTCTTTTTGGAAGCGTGCACTGAGATCATGCATTCTTGTGATATGTATTTCCACATGTTGAAATTTTCAAAATGACTGAATGAATCTGAAGATGGGGATGTTTTTGAAACCACTGAAGTGTAATTGCTACACTTCTGTCTGATATGTCAGAGAGAGCTGGGATGAAGAAACTTCCGGAGTGTTTTGAAGAAACTGTAGGGCGTCTAGTTAGTTTCATAAATCATGATTTAACTGTTACACATTCTCAGAGCTCTGGGAGATTAACAGTGGTAGTGTGTGGATGTTGCCATCCCGAAGTAGAGCCATCTTGAGAAATAAATTGCAGCACCACAGTGCTTTTCGATTTCATGTGGTAATTTAAACTGACTCTAATGTCCTTATATTGCTGCTTGCCAAAAGATCAGCTAATTTAGGTTTGTCTCAAATGCGTACATTAAAGATCAGCAGAAATAATTTACTGCTAAGGCAGTATTATTTTAAAAGCTGATGTAATTTAGTTTTTAAAAATATAACACCTTGGATTAAGCACCTGCTTAATCTCCCTTCCTGTTTTTGATGTAATCTGAAAGTTTATTTAAATAAACCCCTCTTGATCCTTAAAGTCAAAACATAACTGAAATATATCAAAGCATGTCAAAATATTGAAGACATTTTCATGTGTTACACTTTCTTACAGCTTAAGTAGTTTAGGTGTGGGATTCCTGCCTGTATTATTATTATTTTCATTTGTGTGTAGTTTTTCTTCAAAGAGTCTTTTTTTGTTTTTTTTTGCTTAATTGAACAGTATTAGATTTTTCTGGGATTTTACTTTTGCTGTCATGGCTTTCTCATTTCTTTTACCAAAGCATGCAGTCAACAACAAATATCTCAAACATCTGTAAAGAGTGTTTTTTAACTGCCTCGCCTTATTATTATTTTCATTTGTGTGTAGTTTTTCTTCAAAGAGTCTTTTTTTGTTTTTTTTTGCTTAATTGAACAGTATTAGATTTTTCTGGGATTTTACTTTTGCTGTCATGGCTTTCTCATTTCTTTTACCAAAGCATGCAGTCAACAACAAATATCTCAAACATCTGTAAAGAGTGTTTTTTAACTGCCCCCCCCCCCTCAGTTTTCTTTGTTTAAAGTTAAAAACATCAAAAAAGTTTTATTTCTGTTCAGCAGAAGTTTGAAAGTTGGCAGAAACTTGTAATTGTCCTCCTATGTTACAAATGCAGACCAAATAATAAACATACTTACTGTTTGCATTGAAGAAACAGTTTATTCATTTGTACTTCTGGTATGCAATAAAATAACATGCATTTGTATCTCTAGTACAGATGAAATATGGGTGCCGCAAATAGTCATAGAAGGATGAGCTTGAACAGAGTACTAAGGTTTGAGAATCATGAGAAGCCGTAGTCTGGGAAGTTGCTTTTGTTACCCAGGTGTGGCTTTATGGGGAGGAGGGAAACTCTATCCCTTCCTGTTAAACTCATCTTATGCTACTCTGCGGTGTGCTTAGCGCTGTTCATGTTCTCAGCATGCTAATCAACTCTCCAGATTTTGGGCAGTAGATAGGAGGTGGTGAACTGATCTGGAAATGGTAGCACTATTTATGGGAGGAGAGGATATTGAGTGTGCCAGGGGAAAAGCTAATGTTCTCCCTCTGCTGAAGCTCTTCTCTGCTGGTGACTGCCTCTCCACCGTGACCTGATGTAGTGGAGGAGAGACTGCATCTGCTTTTGTATAACAGCTGTCATGGTTTTCTTAGCTAAAAAATGGGTCAGGTGGAGTGAAAAGGAAGTGCTTTTCCATGTAGTACACAGCTAAATTGTGAAACTGCTAGGAGACCTTGTGGAAGGCAGGAGTATAAATGAGGGGTTTTTTTAAATAAATCTCTTTTTGAAAAAAAAATGGTAACTAAACACAAATATATGGATGCTCTCCCTGCCACTGCATCTGTTCTTTTTGGGTTTTTTTAATGCCCTACTATTGGTATAATTTTCTGTAAATGTAGCCTAAAGCAACAAGACTGTCATAGTATAAACAGATGTTTTGTGAAGTGGAACTGATAGATAAATATGGGCACAATGGAGTTATGAAACCACACTATTGACATTACCTGCAATGTTTTTGAAACAGTTTGATATGAGAGATCATTTAGTGCTCTTGTCTGTACAGATGATAGCTACTTCTTTATGACCAAGTTTATGCTGCAAGTGTCTACTAGTATGTGAAACAAAACCAGTACTACTTGAGCTTTCCAAGAAAATTAGAGTCAACCTTAATAACTTTTCTTTCAAAGACACAGAACATGGAGGGAGTAAGACATCGCCAATAAGAGTAATTGAATTAAAGCTGCTTATGGGATCTGTTAAAACTTTCTGCAAATCTCATAGTTGTATAGCCAGGGGTAGCTACCAGCTTGTTTACAATTGTCTCTTTCTTCAGGGAACAGAAAAAAGTTACTTACATTTGATCACTATTTCCTCAAGTAGAAAGAAGGCAAATAGAACTTTAAAAAAAACCCCAAAAAACCAACCAAGCATACATGTCCTATATTTAAGTATAAAACTTATTATTCTTTGCCCTAGCTTATAAATCAGTGGGGATGCCATATTTTCTGTTGGTAGTCTCATGTTGGTGTAACTGTTTCATATGCTTCTTGTAGCTATATAGCAGTGTTGTTTTCTAAGTTATCGCTTTAATGTTTAGATTTTTCAGCTTCTACTCACAGTACTATATAGAAATGTGTCAGTGTTTTTTCTACTGAAGAAAGGAGTAAACAGCACTGAGACTGTAGGAGTGTTTTCCGTTCTTCCACAGTGTTATCCCTTAGAAGCTGGGAAAATTAATCATGCCACGCCTTTGTACTACTGTGGTTAGATTCTTTCCATTAGCTTAGCTAGCTTTGACCAATTTTAAGTATCTCCTTGCTGTTCTGCAGAGCACACTGTGTATGTTCTCTGGAACACATCCCTAGGGAGTGACGTTGCCTGTAATTTGAAATTCACTGGAAGAAAGTCAGCACGGAGATGCCTACCTGTAGAAACACAGGAATGTCCAAAAAAAGACCCTGCAGTTCAATATTTAGACATTTGTGTAACAAAAACAGTTGTTGTAAGGAAACCGTTGTTTTCATAAACATAGCTAAAACTTCAGCTTTTAACTGTTCAAGTCTGTTTCTAGGTTGCTATATTACTTGGTATTAGGTACATCCCATTGTTCATCTTTTTTTGAGGGATGCAAGTGTCTCACTTTGAATTTTTCCATGTAAAGAACTCTCTTGAACTTGAAGTATGCTGTTTCTGACTGTTCCTTTCTTCTGGTTTGGTTACCAGACTTTACTTTTTTTTTTATTTGAGCAAGTAAGTTAAACTTCTAAAAGTATTATACAGGCCTATGTAGATATCAGCTGGCAAGTAACAATCCCAGTAACGTTTTCCATCCATCTTGGGCCCAGTTATGCTGAGACACTCAGATTTGTGTGAGAGAAAAGGAGTGAGGCCTGCCCTGGAAGGAGAACTTTCGTTTCTGTTCTGTCCTCTTTAATGTCTTTATACTTGGCCATGCTCAGATGAGAAACAAGCTTTATCTCAGTCCTTATATTTCTAGTCAGCCCCACATACATCAGGCCTAAGTAACAGTAGCACTTGCTTTGTGAGTTCAACACCAAGCCATGTATACTTCAGCAGAAAAGATATTAGCAGTCTTCTCTTCCCTTTATATTTCTGTTTTTGGAAGATACTCATCCTTTTTGATCCACAGTTTCCAGAGTCTGGGTTCACTGTCATAAAGAGGAATCACTATATGAAAGTCCATTATTTAATTTCCAGCTCTTTAAAGTAACCTCATGATGAGGGAACTATCATTCTTGTCCTCCTAAATTTCTTCAGGTAAGGCAATCCCAAGCTCCCATTCATATTACCAACTGTTTAGTGGTTGTTGGATGTTTTGAGTTCCTGTAGTTTGAAGCAGTCTTTGCTATTTTTCCTGGTTTTATGTGGAGGAGGGATCATATAAGTTTTTCCAGCATTTATATTGCTCCTACTGTGACATGTTAACTATGTTGTAAAAGCCTTTGAAAAATATCCCATGATATGTACTTGTATTTCCAAAATAGTTTGACAGACCCTCACAAAAGCTTTTTTAAATAACCAATTTGTAATGGGTTAAGAGGAAAGGTCCTCTTTTTTTTTTTTTTTAATAAAAGGAGAATGAAAGCATAAAAATATGCGGCAAGCCCTTCTTATGAGGGAGAATACTAATGACACCACTCCGGTTTGGCTGAGGGGGTTTGTGCTGTTCAGCATGGTCATAAGCAGCTGTGAAAAGAAGATTAATAAGGAGGGGATAAAACATGCTGGGTTTTTAGACCTTTGAGAACTAAAGACAATGAATTTGTGATAATGAATGCTTGTATTATTGTAAAATGACCAGTGATACCAAGTTTTGATAAAAGAAAAATGAGAGGAAGTACAGCCCTAACTGTATACCTATACAATGTTGAACTTCCCATTAGTTAATTTCCAAAGAAATCTTTTTGGTACTTGAACAAGATTTGCTACTATAATTCCTTATAAATGAATTGGGAAAGGTAGTTGTCATTTACTGAGAGGAAGAAAGTTACCTGAGGAGTGGTCACTGCGCATCTGCAATGCTGAATGCAGTGTGCCAACTCTAACCAAATAAAGGGGTTTTATTTGGAGTGGAATCAAGTCACATGAGCTAGTAGTAGGCACGTGTATTAGGTAAAGTTGGAGTTTACAAGGATTTCCAGTATCTTTGAGAAAAAAAATGTTTGTAAGTGGCATATGTGCTATAGTTCATATATGCTATAGTGGATGATGATACTTAGAGGAAACATTTTTCAAAGGCCTGCATAGAAATGGGTGCTAAACTGCCACAGAGAGTCAATAGGAGTTGGGTACTTATCACTTACTTCTCCTTTTCTCCTGTTCATTGCCAGAGAATTGAACATGTACTTGAAAACATGTTAAAACTCTTAATTTCCTGCATTTTGGATGTAAGGGCCTAAATACATACATCAATGTATTTAAATGTATTTATCAAGTCGAGTTTGGGTGATTTAGGGTAATTTTGGGTTTTACAGAAAATTATTCAACTTTTATTTTTCCTGAAATGCTTCTCACTGCAAAACCTTTCTTGTCAGCGGAGTGAGAGTGGTTGTTATCTTCCATAACTAGAAGATTCCAGTGTGCTGCTTTTGTATAAATATAAACCTGATAAAATTATCACTTATTCTTCATCTTCTAAGCTGTCATGTATTTATTTCTCTTCATCTGTTTTCTCTTTGTAGAATTTTCCAGAAAAGGATCTTCTACACTGCCATTCTAAGGATGTGATTGAAGCTCATTTTATGGCTTGCATAAAAGAAGCAGATGCTTTAAAGCACAAAAGTCAAGTCATCAATGAGATGCAAAAAAAGGATCATAAGCAACTGTGGATGGGATTACAGAATGGTAAATACAGTGCATCAAGTATTAATTATATTTAGGTCTAGCATGCTAATAAATAACTTCAAGTTTTAATTATGGTAAAGGATATAAAATGTCATTGTTCTGCAGGATTTCAATCTAATATCATGGAAAAGATAAATTGATTTATTTCAAAGTCGCCATTTATGTGGTAATCCAAATGTGGCTTGAGTTATTCAAGGTACTAAATCGGGTCATGACTCTGTTTTAACAAACCAAAACTGGCAACAAAACAAAATAAATAGATAAATTTTGTCTCATGTACTTTTATGCAACTCATGCTCTTTATCTGGGAGACACCTGGGGTGTAAGTGTTGTTCAGTATTAATAATCTTGGACTGTAAAGGAAAAAAGGTTGCCGCCTCCAGTTAATGCTTAAGGACTGTCACTGGTAGAAGATACAGGCAAACTTTCCAAAAAGTTGCCCAATAGATGAAAAATTTTACTTTTCCCTCTGCCAAATCTAGTGTGTGGTTTTGTGTTGTGTTTTGGTTTTTGGGGTTTTTTAATTGCTGATACTGGTATGGCTTTCACAAAGATTTCTGCATAAATATTGACTTGAAAAAGTTAGGGAAATAATTCAGAATAGGATGTTCTAAAATAATTAATGTTTTTACTTTGCACAGATGGCACAAATCTATATTGCAGTGCAAAATATAACTTCTGTTTTTAGTGTCTCCTCTCTTATCATGGTTTTTAGAGGCCTGCAAGTTGAAAAGCTATTCTTATTTCAGAAACTGCAATCTGCAATGGGTGGTAGCACCACTTCCAGTGCATCTTCCTCATCTCCTGAAGCTGTCTTTTATATTATTACTGGTAAATTTGTTACGGAAGCTGTAAGCATGAAGATGTTATGTTGAGATACAAAATACTAAATACTTAGAATTAACATCTTCCCTTATGTTTATAAGGAAAATAAAATGAAACGGGAGAAGCTTTGAATGCAACAGGACTTGAGGCACATGTTTGCTTTAGACAGTGGGGTTCCAAGTTAGTTTGGGTTTAACATGTGCATCTGGTGAGTGTGTGGGTTTTCCTTTTTTTTTTTTTGTTGCTTAGTGATACTGCCTTTCATATTAAAGGTACTCCTGTAATAATTTTGAAGATTGAGTGCTTATTAGAAACTCTGAGTTTTATTTTTTTAATTGGGGAAGAGTTTGAAATTGAGGGATTATCTTAATTTGCCACTTGAGTAGTAAGATCTGGACAGATGTCATACATACCTGCAAAAATTATCAAGTAAGAAATTGCACTTCATCTGGTTCAAAGTACTTCTTGGGAGGTTCTGTTTTGTATAGATATTAGTCAGCAAACTCACGGACAATATATTCACTTTTGTAAATTAGCAGTAAATAAAGTGTTCTGGTCCACTGGAAGCCAGAATCTGTATAGAAATAGATGTTTCCCTGAAGCTTACATTGTTACAAGTCAATTTAAGCTGCAATTTTAATAATTCTGTGAAAAAAAAAGTATTCTGCTGTAATAGTATTTGTCTTGCGAGCAGTTTAGTTTGAGAGAAGAAAAATACATCTCAGCATAATTTTGTTTTCTACTTCAAGAATTATGAGCTTTCTTGCAAAAAGAAATCCTGTCACTTAGCCCTGGCGTTCAAGTGCTCTCAGCAGTGCACTTTGTGGGCTCTTTTCGTTAATGCTTTTTAAAATTAAAACTAAAAGACCTCTAACATGAGTTATGAGAATAATGAGGTATAATAATGGCAGAAGAGTTGACTGCACAATGAAATAATGTGAATTAAGGTTCTTTGCTTAACCAGAAATTATAGAACCTTGATACCCTCAATATGTGAGGTAAGAGAACAGATATGCAGTGTGTTTTTTCCATGCTCGTCTTACGCTCTATCTTT